GCGGGAAGTGTTCTTCACTGGTGGGGGACACTGGGGGGATGTGGAAGGGGGAGGGGGAGGGTTCAGAGAGCGGACAGACGGCGGCAAGGCGACTGCAAAGGGTGAACCACCGAAGCAATGCATTTTGATAGCAATCCGCAAAGGGATCGACCTCAAGGCGGCACCAGCAGCAGCCGCAGCAAAATCAGCAACTCCAACGAAACTCAGCTGATCGTGAATACAGAGAGAGAAATGAATTAAAAATATAGGATATAGCTAGAAGTTTAGGATCTTTAAAAGTCTAAAATAACTAAGAAAACTCAAAAAATATGAATCCGAAATACGTTTATTAAATTTTAGTTTTCTTTGTGAATAGGAGAAAGGATCTAATATAATATTAAAATAATAATTTATAAATAGTATGGATAGCTTTATTTAAAAAAAATCTTTCAATATAAGAATTCGTAGATTTTTTTAAACATAAACTAAAGAAATGTTATCAAAAAATAAACTTTTTTAAGTGAAATTTGGAAAGTGTGGGTTAATTCTCATAAAAAATGTACCCAAAAAAAGCAACTTGTCGTTCGTTGCACCGAATCCGAATTGTTAAATGAGCAAAGGAACAACAAAAAAAATCATATAGAATGAGAATGGATCGGATTGTAGATAGGGGGAGTGGGTGCTGGGGAGTACTGATTATGATATTGCAAAACAAGCAAGAAAACTTCGGCCCAGACTCTCATAATGATGACGATCGTAATCGGCTGTGGCTGTGGCTGCTGCTGCTGCTGATGATGACGACGATGACGTTGCCAAACAACGCCGAGCAAAAAGGCAAAAAGTCAAGAATGAAATGCCACAATAAGGAAAAAAGCACGACGTTTATAGTTCAACGCACTGCCAGGGCGCTGATCCCCCTCGCCACAAAAATATCCCTTGCAATTTCTCCCCTGCCGGTCCGATCGGTAGCGATCAGAGTGGACAGTGGTCAGTGAAACTCCTGCAACATCAGCAGTACACTGTGAAAAAATAAAGCAAACTAATAGGAATAAAAAGGTAGTTATTCAAGTACTAACTACTAACTAAAATACTATATTTTTTTAAATTTATCTTTAAAATATTTTAATTAATAATATTTATTTCTCTGTGCAACCACATTGGTCCGAGGGAGTGGGAATGAGCCGAAGAAATCACTCACGCGCTTGCAACTCTTCATTCCGGTCAATGATCGTCTGCCTCTGTATGTGTAATGAGTGTGCGAGTGTGTGTGTTTAGTATCTGTGTGAGAGTTCTCCTCATAATGAAGACAACGACTCTTGTTGACTTTCATTGACAATATGGTGACGGATCTGATGTTGATCTTATTATGCTGAGCCAGAGACGGACTTGGATGGACAGGAAGCGACTGATATCGATGCTGCAGTTGGGGATCTCAGATCTGATTATGCTAAGATTCGAAGGGAAGCTGAGTCCGGTCTCTGTAGCTTCCAGAGTCTTACATGACATGATCAAATGGAGGGGAAATTTTAATCGCTTTTTATCGGACCAGGAGCTTAAAATACTCGTTTTTTTAATGGAGCAGTTAGAATAAAGACAGATAAACAAAATATCCTTATTTTAAGTTACTTAACTTTGTTACTAACTTAAGAAGTCATTACTCAAATTCATCCATATGATGTTCAATTTAATCTTTTATATTTTTACTAAGAAATTATGTGTAACCAATTCTTAAAAATGATTCATTGTAGTACCTTATCAAATTTTAAAAACCTTTTCCATTTAAAGTTATGTATTTCAAGATTCGTTTGAAATGAATAATAGCATTAATATAATGATATCATTTTCTCTTCGATTCATTGAAACTCTGTATAATTTTAATAAAATGTTTAATATTTTCTAAGAAAATTTTGTTATAAGCTATAATGAGTTACACACTTTAAGAGTTTAATAAACATATTCTTTTTAGTTACAAAATAGCTCCTTTAATGAAACCTCTCTTCTGAGAAATGCTTCCAAGAACATATTCCCGCCTTTCACTCAATTAGTAAACACTTCTTCAAAAGCTCTATTAGTAGTGATCACCTCCCTGATGATTTCTCTATTATGATCCAAATCTAACTTGTTTTGATCGCTGTAGACACTCGGGCAGCTTCTGATTCGGATTCGGATTCTTGGATTGAAAGCGCCCACGAAACGCATGCCGTTCCACTTGGCTCCGATCGTTGATCTTACCTACTTGGCCCTGTTAATTTGTATTATTAATTCAATCAATCACGGATCGTCGGATTGACTGAGAGGGGCAAGAGGTATGATAGGAGGCAGCAGCTGCCCTAACGATCGATCACCCGGCGATCGTTGATCTCATCTGCCGCTTTGTATCTGTGCCTGTGCCTCTGTATCTGTATCTATGCGTATTTCGTTGGCATCTCACAAATGTGGCGGCGGCGTTCTAGTTTTGCACTGTCGATTCGCATTTCTGCCACTGCCTGACGTTTGCCTCTTGGCTAATTTAATTGTTTGGTTTTTGTTCATCAAGTCTGTTGAGCGACCAGATAGATGGATTTTCTCTGATGGCTTTTTAGTTCATCGAAACATTTATAGAACGAACGGGCGCTCGTCTGTTCTGGGCTGGGCTCGGCTGGCATTTAATTCGCTAATTGCTAATGCTATGGCTTATCAAATTGGAGCATCAGAACCTATTTTGCCTCTTCTGTTATTTTTATTTTGGCTGTCATCGATCGTCTGGCTTTGTTTGTTGCTTTGTTTTAATTTAGTAGCACATTTTAGCACAAATACCACTGATAAGACCACTCGAACTGGCGGCGGCGACGGTGACGACGATAATTCGGCAGCATTGCTCATACGCCCCATTGGCCCGCTCGCATTCTTACCTGTTTTTGCGGCTTTTTGTACAGTTAGAGCGGCTTCCGGTTGTTAAAAGCTTTTCGTACACCTTCTTATTATAGGTTCTTTAATTTTTAATTTAATTTTACAAAATTTTTTTTGAGCAAGTTCAAAATACTTTTAATGATCTGGTAATTCCAGCGAATCTATACACGGCTTGTATATAATATTCTGTGGTTTTCATTTAACGTTAATCTTTTTTAATCTTCTGGCTAATTGAAATGTTTATTGGCGGACGTGTAGCCGCGCCAATTATTACAGATTCCTGATAATGTCTTGTCTCTAGCAATTTATCTTAATTTCTAGCCATTAACTGGAAAATTTGCTTTTTTGGGCTTTGGGTTTCATCAAAACACTTAATCAGTGACTGACCCCTCACGATCCCACCCACTTTCCGAGAGTCAGGATTTGACGGTTTTTTTTTTCTTTTTATCTAATTAGGTAGTCAAAATACGAGTAGGGCAACTCAACAACTTACAGAAAAAAAAATGAAAGAAAATGCTCCTCCATGCAATATAAACTGTGTCACTAAACAAAAATCCCAGCGAGGTGGGGCTGGTGGGGGGTAGGGAACTCAACTTTGCCCAGAGAATTGTGTCAAATAGATAAAAAAGAAAAACGATGCCACCAGCAACAGCAGCAGCATGATGATGATGACGATGATGGTGGTGTTGGTCGTGGCTATAATGATGATAGCCATGGCAGCCACTCCTTTCAGCGCGTCTCAGTTAAGGCAGTTATAATTATAACCTCGATTCTCGGGGCTCTATAGGAGAAAACTGGCCCCGAAAATTGTCGAGCATTTGAATAATATTACAAGAATGCAATCAACATGAAAACAGAGATATACCCAGAGTGGGAACTCTAAAATGGAGAAAAGAGATTGTCAAAAAAAAGTAGGCGGTGGCTTTTGTTGATTTAAATGGCACCCGAAAGTCAGTCGTAGAGGCGACTGTAAAAAATGCCAGACATACGGACAGATGAGCGGACAGCTGGACAGCTGGACGGGATGGCCAGTGAGGGGAATAGAGAACTATTCAAATTGAGGTCATTCATCTCGCTTCGTTGAACGCGCTTAAGTGAATTATGTATACGTAGAGACATACGTAGAGTGCGGCTGCCTGGCTCGCAGAGAGAAATGGTGAAGGGTCAGGGGAGCACACAGAAGTCGGGTCAGCAGCTTAGATGAGCATGTGAATGGAGGCAAAAAAAACACAAACAAGCACACACCATATTTTTGTCGCTTTTTTAGAAGCTATGGGAAATGTTAACTCTTTCTTTTTACATCGATTTAAGGTATATGCTATTTTTGGCACGATGATAGATAACTTTTCTTTCAATAAGTTAGTGACATGACACTAGCTCCCTCTTCCTCAAGCATTTTCTACAAGTATTACATCCCAACTTTAATGGAAAGAAAGCCTTTCTCCGCTTTAACGCTAATTGCCCGCAATTTGCCTTGGAACTTGTCTCACTCCCGCTGTTCAATGAATAAAAAATATGATTGATTGATTGACTCAAGAGATCGACGCCCTCAGAAAAATCCGTAAAACGATTTGCATAAATATTTGTTCATTCTTTTTTTTTTGCTCAGCTCACAATTTGAATTTGGAATTTTTGATATTATTGCCGCCACTGCCTCTGCGGACGTTCTCTATCTGCTATCTGGCTCTCCGTTTTGTATCTTTTGGTTTGATTTGATTTTCTTATGGGAGTAGGTCAGTTCAAAATTTGCATATATGGCTGCCTTTGATTTCTCGCTCGATTTTTTATTCATATTCTGACTGTTGCCCTGCCCCAAAAACGTAGATGTGCGAACACGTGCTTCGACACCACACACCCCTCGCATATCTTTGCTTTTATGGTTTATATCTTTAAAAATCACAGTGAAATTGAAGAACTTCTTTCCTGGAACCTATGCCATAATAGCACCCTAATATTTGTAGAGATAATAGTTATAAAATAAATATAGAATGTCTGGTATCTTGAGTGTTGCATGGTAGTTGGGTCAATTGCAAAACCAACAGATTGCAACAAAGAAATATGCCTTATGTAACCCTAAGAAATGTCTATAAAATAGATGATACTTTACGCTTTTCAATCAGTTGACCATTTATTCCTCAAAGCATGAAGTTTGGTGAGCATTGCAAGGATTCAAAACGCTTGAAAATCTCCAAAGGATATACTCTTTCAGTTCAAGTAGTTTTTTTTCTACCGATCCTGATTTATTCCTTGGCCAATGAAGTCTTCTCATCCTGTGCCGGAGACTCCTTTTGTGTGTGCAAGGATCACCAAGTTGGAGAATTAGTTCCGAACTGTGACGATTGCTCAAGCTACTTTGTTTGTGGAAATGATTCTATTAATTTAGTAAAGTGTGACCCAGGACTCATCTTTGATATAAACGTAAATGCCTGCATACCGGGAAAATGTCCCCGAGTGGATGGCGAGTGCCGTGTTCCTGATCCAACAACTCCACCTCCTCCAGGAACCGATCCCTGTTATACTTCAAGTGTGAACTGCACCTTTCATGGCCAGATGCTTCCGAATGATCAGCACTGTCGACTCTTTTGGATCTGTGTGGAGAAATGTCCAGCTGTGGGCTTCTGTGAGCCCGGAACATGGTTCGATCGAGAGCTTTTAGTGTGTGATTTTCGTGAAAATGTAAAGAACTGTCCAGTTAATACTGACTAAATTACCAATTATTCAAAATAAAAACATACATTTTAACCAATGCACTCTAAAAGTGTATCTTATGCATTTCGATCGCCACATCTATAAATTGAGGAAGTCCAGATAATGGGCAAATGGAACTTGTTTGTGATTTCAAATGCAATGCTTCGAAATCAAATCAAATAAATATGTGTCATGGCGAATCGAAGTGAGGCAAAGTTAATTTTAACGGTCATTAAACTGCAATTGTCCTCATGAATAGGCGGCAGTGGCAAAAGCCGGCGAGCAGCATGGCGATAATTTACGCAAATTGCTTGACACAATTTTGTAGTTGTTGCAGCTTTTTGTTGCTGGTGCTGTTGCTGGATGGTGTTGTTGCCCCAGGCAAGTGGGCGGTTGCTGCGTGCAAATTGTTGCTGTTGCTGCTGCTGCTGCACTGCCACAAAAAAAAAAAACTAAATTCAGCACGCAACTAACAATTTTAGCTGTTCCAGATAGAGCGACTGGCACACCCAGGTGCATATGAAAACCAACAAAAGAAGCGCCAAAGTAATGTTGACTTTTGTTTCATGCCACGAAAATGCCATACTCTTTGTCAATCAACCCACAAAAAATTCAGGCAATTATTGGCAAAAGTTTTGGCAATTTTATAGGCTTTTCATGCAGGCAGGCTAATTTTCAAAATAAAATTAGAGGCTTTTAATTGCATGTTTTTGGTCAAGGGATTCACCACTAACATGTTGGTATATTATTAGGACTTTCTTAGATTTGTGGAATATGAAAACGTTTGAAGCTACAAAAAATATTGCATTTAAAATTCTATCTTTAATATTATTTTAAATTTGTGTTTAAATAATTTTTAAATAATTCAATTCGTCGCCAACATCACTTGCAGATATTTTATGCGTTGCGCTCTTCACTGAAAAAAGTACCCCTTCTGTACCAATTTATTTAAAAATCAGTAACATAAAGGTTCTCTATTTCTTATTAAATTTATTTCAATTTAAATATTAAGTAAGTAAAAGTTAGGGTATTTAAAAAGTAGCTGCTTCTGTTTTGTTGAACAGCAAACAAACAACAAACTTTCACCCGGCAGTAAGCCGCAGCATTTTGGACAATTTCGTAACTGGGTAAACACACACAACCACACACCCAATACACACACTCACACTCAACTGACACAAATACTCGCACACCCGGGCAGTCATGCAAATGTTGAGTGCATAAAGTGCAGCCAGCAGCGACAGGTGAACGAACGACCTCAAACGAGGTCAGGCAGCGGCAGCAACAGAAACTACTGAGTGGCGAGGGGATAGTTGGATGGAAGGGGGGAAGAAGAGGCAAGACGAAAGGGGCAGGGGGCAAGGGGCCATTCATGCGCACGATAAAGCCGAAAAAAAATATCAACTATATATTATGCAGCACGCTCGCATGTTGGGCCGGAGCTGGAGCTGGTGGCTGGTGCTGGATCTGACAAAGCTTTGGCAGTTGGCCCTGTTCGCATGCTAATGGCCCGGCTTGGTCGAAAAAGCCAAAAACGAATAGCGTCGAAAGACGACGACGAGGAACTAAATGTGGGCAACATTTGGCCACTTTACGGGCCCTGGGCTGGCTCTGACAGGGCCCAGTGATGCTGCTGCTGCCAGAGATTTCGGTGACCCAAATCCTTTTCTGGCCTGGCCAAAAGTGAGGGCTTGGCTTAGTGAGAAACCCATTTGGGGCACTCAAAACAAAATAAACGTTAAATGTAAGATCAGGGCAGCAAAAACTTTAAATCTTAAAAATAATTTAAGTAATTATTAAAGTACTTAATGAAGCAAAATTCTCAATACATTATAGATAGTTACAGCAAATAAGATACTAGTATATACATTGATACATATATTTATTCTATATAAAAAATTTCTAAATATTTTGATAGTAGGACCTCCACACCTGTTTGATAAAAAATACCATCGTCACTGTATACCTTTTATCAAATAATATTTTATTTCTTTTAATCAACAAACAATACTCCTCTTATCAGAACAAATTCTTAACAAAAAAGGCACTAAACTATGTGTGGAGCATTTTCTTAGAGTGTTTCTGAATGTGAATCTGGCCTAAACGAGTTTTTCCGCCCCCTCTTCAATAGCTGTTCAACTCCGTGCCCCTGCCCCTTGCCCCCTGGCCCCCTCCACTGTCCGTCATTTGGCTGCACTAAATCACTTAAGATGCTTTTAGCTGGCAGTGCTGGGAAAAAGTTTTAGTTTAGGCCAGGCCAGGCCAGACCGAGCCAGGCCAGGCCAGCATGCTCCGCTTATTTATGTGGGGCCTGGTGCAGCACCAGCGTGTGTAATGGATGGTGTTGACCTGGTCTGGGTCTGCTCTGAAATGGGAATGGAGTGCCAGTGGGTGTGCTGAGTGTGTGTGTGTTTGCTCGGTGGGTGGTGACAGGTGACAGGCGTTGGGTCCACAGGTCGATTGAATAAGTAATGACGGGGATTATGCCCGGACAGTTCACTTGCTCCCAATACCAGAACAAACGATTCCCCCGTCCAGTGCCAGATACTCCAATTCCATTATGGGCACTCGCCGATTGAAGCAGCCATCGATCTGCTCTACTTCTTCGCAACTTCAGGCCGTAAATCTGCAAAATCAATATGGAGAAGTAGCCTTCGTTCGCTAATTGAAAACACCTTAGAACAAATAGAGAAAGCAGAAAAAAATATATGTATAATAAATGAAAAAAAAAAAACAAGCCAAGTGCCCGCCACAAGCAATTAGCGGCATCGAAGGTGGCAGTCTCAAAATCCAATGCTGACCGGCAAATAATATTCACACATTATGCATAAAAACTATGAGTTGCGAGGGTGGTGGCGGGGGATGGCTCAGGTTATGCCATAATTAATTTACGAGCTGTGACAATTAACGCGAACGAGACGCTTTATGAGCCATTGGGTTTTTGGGTGGGCGGTGAAAAGCGTGACTCCAGCACAATGAGAACCTAGAGCTTAAGTCGTGACAAGGCTGGAACCTCGTCTGGCAGCGGCCATAATAAGATTATGTTGCCGGCCCACTAAGGTCAGGGGAGCTCCACCTTCGAGGCATTGGTATGGCGCAAAAAAATATTAAATAAAATAGGTCACAAATGTGAGAAAAATAACAAGAAAATATACGATTATTTAACAAACATATGGACTTTAATGGAATTATTTATAAAATATTCGTTGTTTGTAGGGAGCACCTATACCTCCAATTCTAATGGGATAGATAACTTTTTAAAGATTCACCTTTAAAAATTTTAAATAATTCCTCTATTAACCAAGTTCTTCTTCTTCATCGCTAATAAAACTTTATATTCGTGAGAGGCTTATACGCTCTTAGTATAATTAGTCATAATTGTTTCTTTAAGCCCCCAGCTTTACGACCCTGGATCATAAAGTCAAGCCAAGGTGTGTCTCAGCAAATGGGTCAGTGTGTTGGCCATCTTTCACTTGGCCAACTGACTGATGAAGCTGCCGCTGCTGTCTCTCAAACTTGCCACTTTGCGTGCACAAAAGTTTTCCGGCTACCGGACAACGGTGCGTATGCGCAATGCATGCAAAGTTTCTTTCACTTTTTTTTGTGAGACCATGTAGCTGACGCATAGTTGTTGTTTGTTTGAAGACCGCCGGCGGCGGCTACCGCAAACCACAAATAACAACAAATAACAACAAGAAATGAAAACAATCACAAGACAAAGCCAAAGAAATACATAAACACATAAAAGGCATGGAGGAAAAACAACGAAATCACTTGCCTCCGTTTTCATTTTGAGCTCAGTGGGTCAATGTCCCACTGATAAAGTGAGTGAGCCGCTGAAAGCCGGCAACTGGAGCAGCTGCGTCTGGTTTTCTTGGTCTTGGTCTGTTTGTCTGGCATTTGGGCAGCCAAATGCGATTTTAATTAATAAAATATGTACGCTATCTGGCCGTTGGCAACCAAGTATTTGGTTGCACAAAGCAAATTTTACGTTGTGCAATTTCAAAAGGCACACACACACACACCAAGCCCCAGACAAATATGAAAAATGTCGAAAAACCTCAGGCTAATGAGCACTTCAAACGATAAACGCACCGAAAATTGAATTATTTTCCCAAGAGAGACAGAACAGTATGTTCTGTATCGCATTTCGACATGCCGAAATTTTCTAGTTGATAGCACAGAAATGTTGCCAATTTGTTGCTACTCGAAAGCCAAGATACTCGAAAGTATCCACAAGTGTGTGACGCATTTGTAAGATTTATGCGTGTGCCAGTTTTTATTCTGTTGGCTAAACACAAGAATACATCATGTGGATCTGTGGATCTGAGGATATGCGGATCGGTGGATGAGAGTGCTACTATGTGGTGTTGATATTATGAGTTAATTGGCTGTTTTGTAGGGAATAGATTTAAATAGGCGGCTGACTAAGCGGCAGCAAACTATGAAATTAAAGAAAATACGCACTATAATCTATATGGATAAAATTCTATATATTTTGCTTACGAAGAATGTAATGTAAAATGTGAGTAGCATTTTCTGTTGCATACTTTTGGGGTGGCCATTTTTTAGACATCAGCCATAATGCATTTTGGAGAAATAACAATGATTATTTATTAAAACTAAATTTTAAATCTTTTTTATTTCCAGCTGTACGTTATGGTCGTGTTCCGAAGCGTTCCCGTGAGCTGAACGGAGCAGCCTCCTCCTCGTCGTCCTCCTCAGCGGTGGGCGTGCCTCTAAATGTTGATGATACATCGGCGCACAGCCTTCATCAATCCCAGCTACAACAGCAACATCACTTGCAACAACAACAGCAGCAGCAACAACAACAGCAGCAGCAGCAATCGCATGCTAGCAGCATAAGGGTTAAGACACCAAGTACACCACAAACGCCACAAATGTGTTCGATCGCCTCCTCGCCATCGGAGCTGGGCGGTTGCAACAGTGCCAACAACAACAGCGTCAACAACAACACCACCGGCAGCTCGAATGCCAGCGCCGGCAGTGTAGGCGGCGTAAGCGTGGGCGTGGTCGTTGTCGGAGGACACCAGCAGCTGGTGGGGAGCAGCATGGTGGGCTCCGATCAGGTGGGCATGTGCCACGACGGCCTGGCCGGCACCGCCAACGAACTGACCGTCTACGATGTCATCATGTGCGTCTCGCAGGCGCATCGCCTTAACTGCTCCTACACCGAGGAGCTGACCCGGGAACTGATGCGTCGCCCAGTGACAGTGCCACAGAATGGGGTAAGTCTTGAAAGTTTATTAAGGAGAAGCTCAAACTAAGTAAGCGTTTTCTCTTTGAAAGATCGCCACCACTGTGGCCGAAAGTCTGGAGTTCCAAAAGATCTGGCTGTGGCAGCAATTCTCGGCCAGAGTAACGCCCGGCGTTCAGCGGATTGTGGAGTTTGCGAAACGCGTACCTGGCTTCTGTGATTTCACCCAAGACGACCAGCTTATTCTCATCAAGCTGGGCTTCTTCGAGGTCTGGCTGACCCATGTGGCACGCCTCATAAACGAGGCAACTCTCACACTAGACGACGGAGCCTATCTGACGCGCCAGCAACTGGAGATACTATACGATGTGAGTATATCTATAAGGATTAACGATTGTAATAACAACTAATGTTTATATTCAATAGTCTGATTTTGTCAACGCCTTGCTGAACTTTGCCAACACACTGAACGCCTACGGGCTAAGTGACACAGAGATTGGACTCTTCTCGGCCATGGTGCTCCTGGCCTCTGACCGGGCCGGACTGAGCGAGCCCAAGGTGATCGGCCGGGCCAGGGAGCTGGTGGCCGAGGCGCTACGCGTCCAAATCCTGCGCTCCCGGGCGGGATCACCACAGGCCCTGCAACTGATGCCGGCGCTGGAGGCCAAGATACCCGAGCTTCGGTCCCTGGGGGCCAAGCACTTTTCACACCTAGACTGGCTGCGGATGAACTGGACCAAGCTGCGCCTGCCGCCCCTCTTCGCCGAGATCTTCGACATCCCGAAGGCCGACGACGAGCTGTAAGCCCGGCATGAGGATCGAAATCAGAATTGGATCTGCCGGAGGATGGAGGAACTGGAGAACTCCGGAGATTCCAAGGGCCGTGCAAAGCAACCGCAACAAAAATATTCTACCACTTGTAGGCTTAAGCAACGTAGCATTAGCGGAGACAGAGGAGAGAGAGGAGATAGAAGGTCAGGAGATCAGATACACGTCTACTCAGCATTAAATGGAATAGTTCACTAAGCCCAATTTGCATATTTGCATAACTAGCAGTGTTAGAGCGTTCCGAACTCCCCGCTGAACATATCCATGCGCAACATAAATTATTTATTTCATTGTTGACTCATCAAGATCCACCAAGCCACCCATACCATATTATACCATACTACACCATACCATCTATGTGCATCAGACATCACACCCACCACACATCCATCACCCGCACCCAAAATTTCGAAAAATGGGAATCACTTACCAAGGCATCTATTCAGAACTCGACTGAAGAGCGAGCGTTAAAGTTCGATAAATACTGGTTTTTTTAAATATTATAATATTAAATACTAAAAGTATAAACGATATCGGATATATGTGTATGTTACACCTAGAGATACGGACCTAGCATAGTCGAAAGAAAAGCAAAAAGACCCATTTCGTTTGCTTGCAAAAATTGGATATCCAACGAGGATATGATACCGATACGATACGATATATGCATATGCAACATGATATATACACACTATGCCTAGTTTAAATCCTTTCAAATTGAAGATCGATGCGTTTATTGTATCTGCGTGTAAATAAATTTAAATTAATTTTTAACATTAACTCGCTGCGACTTGATTATTTTTTAGTCTCCCCCCACAAACCCTCCACAGTCCCTAAGTGTGTCGCAGGATTCACTCCTCCGGCAAATGGCCTCCTCCAAAGTGTTCAGTTTCTCACTTAAGATTAGACTTTCGACATCTTACGATTAATATCCTTGGGTTAGAGACCATCTAAGTTAAGTGCTTTAAGGCTTCATTTGTATAACTTGGAACAATCAAATTGTTTGATCAATTTTTTGAATAGATTGGTGCTAAATTCGTGTGTTAAGTTTACATGGAGGACGATCCGAGACGAGATGGATATGAGATCCGGTGAGATGAGAAAAAAAAAATAAGCGACAGGCGAACAAAATATACAACCACTATATTTAAATCTATCTTATATTATAACGAATACATGTATGTAAAAATCAAAAATGGAATCTTCTCTAAAGCTCTTCTCACTGATTGTTGAATTTATATAGAAAATTTTGTAAATTTTATTAGTATGACAAAGGAAAAGAATATTAAAAGTAGAGGCAGCTGTTTCCATTGCGTTGAGACCAAGACGGCTGCCGTTTTATGCTCCATGTGTACCTTTCGCTTATTAAATTAGAATATCGAAATCAATATAGATCTACTACGTACGTACATTTTTAGACTACGATTTGCAATATCTTAGAAGACACGCAACTTGAAACGCTAGCAATTTTCCATACCCATTTGATCCCCCAAAGCACCCACTCCACCACCGCCTAATATATATAATTTCGATCCAAGCACATCCAAGTATATGATCCCCGATGATAAATCTCTGTGTTAATTTTTGTAAACCAGTGCGCATAATGGAACCTTGTGAATGTAGCATTAAAATACAAATGAAAAAAAGAACAACAGAATTTTAATTACATTATTAACGTATACCTAACTATTATATACATAAATATATGGTATAATAAATATATAGATACAATTTTTTACCTACTGTAGCTTTGATTACATTTTTCAATGATGTGTCAAATTTTAAATGGTATTAACGATAGTGCATAATACTCTACGCAGCCAGAAGGAAAGTAAAACAATGCTGATCGTCAGATGCGCCGACTTCCTGCGATCGCCACTAATCGCTCTACTCGAATACAGTGCAAAAAAAATCAGAAAATCAACCAGAAATAAACTAATCATACATATATCAATATGCAAGACATTGCTTAGCTGTTTACTGAAACCTAGCCCCGAATACCACTCCCCGAATAATGCGGTCGGAAAATTCGACCTTGCAATGCCCTGTTTTGATTTCAAAAAAAAAACCTTATCCGCATTATACACCACTCCACAATACAGGGCATTCACAACTATCCAGATATGAGTCAAGCTCGCTTTACTAACTTACATAAGCCGCAAACAAAAATGAATAGCAAAAGACGATAAGACACTGCGAATACTAATTAGAATGCGGAATACGCAGATTGTAATAAAATTACAGAAAAGCAAACAAACAATAGTCTTTGAATGATTTGATAAAGTTCCAGCGTGGGGTGGGGAAAACTATTTCATCAGAGATAAACAATATAGGTGTTTTGCTTCTACACTGCAACAACGTTTTATTACGATATAACGAAATTAGACACATAAGGAGTATTTATACACACAAACATAGAGAACTTTAAAGGACACAAACGAGTGTTCAACATGTAAATATTGTTATTAGTGTGTTTGGAATATCCACGACTAGGATTCTTCAATTGATTCTTAGGTACTTGGTCGGAACAGGTGAAATGCCTTCGTTAAGATGTTCAGGAATGGATTTCCTTTCAAAAATTAAGTAACTCAATCGTCTCTTGGTAGGGGATAGAACTGGGTCAGCTCCTTGGCGATATCCTGCGCCAGCTCAGGGGTAGCTGCTGCCAGGACACGACGCGACATAATGTCAAACTCTCCGCCACAGGGATCAATGACCACTCCACCAGCTTCGCGTACAATCAAGTCTCCGGCACAGACATCCCAGGCATGAATGCCGAATTCGTAGTTTGCATCGGCAGCTCCCAGAGCCACCATGGCCATGTTCAAGGCAGCAGAGCCCAAAACGCGGAATCTATACAATGAGAAACAAAAATGTATTTGTAGAGTACTGTTGATTATCTAGACCACTTACCCGTGCACCTTCTTGGCCATTTTGGCAAAGTTCTCGTTAACCACCTTCATTTTTGCCTCGTCGCGGGTGGTACCAAATTCGCTGGTGACCAGGGCCTTGCCAATCTCCTTTTGACCGCTCACTTGGATGCGTTTGCCGTTGTAGAAGGCCCCATGACCCCTTCGTGCGGTGAAGCGTTGCTCCAGCAGTGGGTTGTAGATCAGAGCCAATTCGGTGACCTTATTCACCTTCAGACCAACCGAGATGCACGAATGAGGAAAGGCGTGCACAAAATTCATGGTACCATCCACAGGGTCGATGATCCAGGTGGGATCCTCCGTCAGTTTCTTGACTCCTCCCTCGGCACTATCCTCCTCACCAATGAACCTGGAAAGCAAAAGGCGTCTTGTTAATAATCCAAAATCTCTTTGGAGAACTCACTTGTGATTGGGGAACGCTTTGCTGATGCCCTCAATAATTAGCTTCTCGACATCCTTGTCCGTTTGGGTCACCAAGTCAATGTCATTGCTCTTAAGTTCGAACTCGGTGCGGTTGTCATTATTCTTGGCTATTAACTTTAAGGGAAAACAAAACAATGTTTGTTTAGGAAAATTCCATTATTGTTTTCAAGTATTTTTCCAGAATCTTATTTACCCGACCAGCCTCGGAGACCAGATTGCTGGCCACTTCAAAGCACTTTTCCAGATCCACGGTAGCAGCCATTTTAGTGATGTGTCCCTCACAATTCCCCGAAATTGAATGAAGCTATGGCAGAAATCAAAATTTGCGAACTATAATCTAATTACTTAAACAGCCGATTCAACCAGTGTTGCCATTCAGCAGCAAATAATATTAAGAAATTACTAAACTTCATATATAGCACGTTCCCATCAAATATTAGGATGTTTATCAATTAAAACTAATAATGTAATTCATATACCAAAGCAATGAAAAGCTTTTCATTCATAAAATTAGTTTACAAAAACTTCATACATCGTTTGGAAACACTGACACTCACCCTTAATCGTACCCATCGTTGCATCCCTGGCAAAGCGCGCCAGATTTGAAAAGACATTGGAACAAAAAAACTAAATACGTTTGGTTAATAAACTGAGAAAATGCGTATAATTGGTTATACTTTTGTAAAAACTTGGATTATGAACAAAATTTGAGACAACAGACAACTAGGCTTTATGATCCCAAATTTTGTTGGCAGGTTTTTGAAATTTTAAAAGCTCATAATTAAGAATTTTCGGTTCCAATCCAATACCATATTCACTTCATTTAAATAAAAACCATAATGTTCTTGTATTTCTAATACAACGAAAATTTATCCGCCGTGTTAACTTGGACTTCCTGGCGGGCAGTTGTCTGGGAACTAAGCGACGTACGTTCTATTGGCCTCATCCGTGCCAGATGACTCTTCAGTTTCTGGGAAATCGGTCTGTCCACTGAAATCCCTCATCTCAGCACCCGTTCCTTCTGGATCTTGGCTTTTGATTCTTGGCTCGTCGTCGCGTGGCCTCGGATAGGTTTGCTGCAGACTTCCCCCCAGTTGCAAGGCCAGGTGCTCGGAAGAGGCCGCCAGGCAGCGACGGGCCATGATGTCGAGGTTAGTGTTGGCCGGATCCATTACCTTACCGCCAGCCTCGGTAACTAAAAGAATCCCAGCGGCCATGTCCCAACAATGAAGGCCAAAGTTGAAGTAGGCATCCGCCACTCCAGAGGCCACCAAGGCCAGGCACATAGCCGGAGAGCCAACGTCGCGCAATCTAAAGGAGAAGGATAACAATGTCTCTGTTAGTTAATGGTCATTTTTTCACAAAAATCGGATACTAACGCTTGCACCCTCCCGGAAAGAGTATCTGCATTCGTCTTGGCTGCCCTTCGACGCTCTTCATCGTCCGAAGTGCCGTAATCCTGCAGAACCAACGCATTGGATAGCTCCCTCTGTCCGGTGGTCTGAATCTTTTGGCGATTCATCCTGGCACCCTTTCCCAGCTGAGCCGTATACATGTTCTTCATCGGAGGATTGTAGATGATGCCAAACTGGGTCTGCTTGTTGACCAAATAAGCCACGGAGATGCAGTAGTAGGGAAACTGATGGACGTAGTTGACGGTGCCATCGATGGGATCAATGATCCAAGTAGGATCATCCGTCAACTCGCAAATGCCATCTTCAGACCTTGATATTCGCTCCTCGGCAATAAATCTATGGATAGTTAGATACTTGGATTAACAGGAATTCAGGATCCTTCTTAAAGAATACTTACTTGTGATCCGGATATCTTGAACTTATGGCCCCGATGAACAGTTCCTCCACGGCGTTGCCGGCTGGAGATATCGCATGCTGGTTAGGACTCCTGTTGGCGATTTGCTTGTTCTCCTCCTTGTTGCTTTCTGTGAGGGCAATGGTACCCACCATTCGCACCTCTCGGCAGGCCAACAGGAAGAGCTGGTCCAGATTCTCGGCAGGAACCACATCTGGAAGGTTTTCCTCCTCTTCCTCGTCGCTGGCATATGCATCGCTTTCCTCTGTATATATTAATCCGGATGGATCGGGCGAGGTGTTGGTCCCCTTGGAGGCGTAGGCCTTCGAGGGATCAAAGGTTACATCCGTATTGGTCAGTTTGCTCAAAGCACTTTGCGCGTCGTCCAAGTCTTCGTCCTCGGCCGGCATTGTGGGCGGTGGCAACGGCACATCCTCGATCCTTTGCGGGGGTTCCGCAAATTCTTGCTTCGGTGTAAAGTCCAAAGACTTGGGCGCGGGCTCTGGAGGAGTCGGTGGTAGTATTGGCGCTGCTTCCGGCTCTGGTCTTATGGACGCTTGCCTGAACACCGGCTCTGGCTCTTTTATCTCATTGGAAACTTGCACAGGTGCCTCTGGCTGACTAGGTGACAGGGTGTCCCGCTTATCGTCCGTTTCGGAGGATTCAATTTCGGACTGGCGGTCTGGCTTCGGATTAGGCTCCGGCACGGCTGCTGACTTCAATACGGACATCGATGTTGTCGAGCGATTGCGACGAAAATGTTCGCTCTGGATGTTCCTCACCCGGGGATGCTGGGCAGTGGCATCCTCCTCCTCCATACCGTAATTAACCGCTGCATTCGAGCCAGACGAGCGCTTCTGTTGGGAAGGAGATCCTGCAAGCTCGGCAGGGGACTCGGATGTGGACGAGGGGGCGACCGTTGCCGCTGCCGGGGACGCATTAGTATTGACTATAGCTTGGGGATGGATGCGAGTTTGCGACTTTGAACCCACTGAGGCCCGGCGTTTGTCCTCGCCCGTCCGGAAGGCGCTCACCCGTGGATCAGTGCCCGTGGCTTCGTGTTCCTCCAATCCGAAGCCGGTCGCCGCATTTGGCTGCGAATCCTTTGGAGGCTCCTTGTTGGGCTCCATTATGCCTCTGGGTCCGTGCCTCACGGATTATCTGTGCACCAAGTTCTTCCACTGCCGCCAAGAAGTCGCAAGTCCGGCCCGGGCCGAAAGTTTAGACTGGGAGCCAGTCAGAGGTCCAGATGGAAATGCTGTACATAGAAGTCTCCTGCTAGGCCAAGGTGATCAAACACTCTGCCATTTTTGTCAAAATTAAATGATTTCAATATACTTACCAGGATTATAGAAACCGGACCATGAAATACATTGAAACAATAACTTTATTATACAGATATGTTCATGTACATAAATATATATATAATTAGATATGTATATTTCATTCTTTTGCCATTCTTTTGCTGTAAAACTAACAATCTTTTTACAATCAGACGCGAGACAGATATGTCCCCAATTCAGCCAATTGCCATTAACTCGATTATGCATAGACCGGATATCCCAAAAATAACGAGCTCTAACAGCATAAACCTCTACAATATCCGTAGGCTTGCAGCAGTAACTTCATGATATGTTTCGTTGCAGTAAGTCTTCTGACCGTATAACATAATTTCATATGTATATATATATAGTGTATATAGTATATTCGAGCGATTTTCTCATCAACAATTAGATCGTACGTAGGATGTAGGAATGCAACACTGATATGTATCGTTCTCAAAACTTACGGGCTAAGGGGGTTAACAGAGGAAACCGGATAGTCCCCCGACCGGTTCCGGACTTACGTGCATGGATCGTCTCTGGAAATCTGGAAAATGTGTGCTAGAAATAGAAGATCTACAAAATAAAAGAATATATGTATGGAATAGAACAGAAAAGTGTGAGATGTGTACTTTTGTGGCTACAACTGGAATCGTGTATATATTTTGTCTCATATCAATTCTACTAAAAATACATACATAAGTAAGATATAATTAAATTTTTTATCACAACGAATTAGCGAGAACTTAGGCTACTAGTAGGCTACACTACATACGCAACAAAGAAACGGAAAAGAACTGGAAAGAATGTGTGCGTGCTGAGCATGTGTAACTACGGTGAACAGGCAATACACAACAAGATACAGATAGTCAGATAGTTACTCGGATCCGTCCAGACGCTTACGCTTACAAACTAAGTAGAATTTAGGAGGTGCCAACCACACCGCAACCCGGAACGGGACCAACATTGAGCAATAGTTATTTCTATAGATGCACGTCTATAAAGGGGGAGATTTACAGGATACGTAATCGGGATACGTATGTTCTGGCGCTGGCCAGCGATGGAAATGCGAAGCTGGGAGAGCCTTATTTTAGCTGGACCCATCTACCATTTACTTGGCCTCTACGGGCCGGTTGGCGAAGAGCTGCTCCACAATCTGCTCGTCGGCCAGGGTCGAAGTGTCGCCCACATTGCGATCGTTCACGGCGATCTTGCGCAGCACTCGCCGCATGATCTTTCCGGAGCGGGTCTTGGGTAAGCCGGGGGCATTCTGAATGACATCCGGCATGGCAAAGGGTCCGATGCGTTCGCGCACCATCTTCTTAAGATCCGAGATCAGCTTCTGATCGAAAACTTCGTTCTCATTCGGAGTGATGAAGCAGTAGAGGCATTCGCCCTTGACGGGATGTGGGCGGGAAACCACAGCGGATTCAGCCACGCGGGGATGTTCTGTCAGAACAGATTCCACCTCGGCGGTGGACATCAGATGTCCAGAGACGTTTAACATGTCATCGACACGACCAGTGATCCACAGATATCCATCAGCATCGCGACGAGCGCCTATTATATTGAAAATATTTATATAAATATTGAAAAACTCTCTTGAGGATTTCAACTCACCATCGCCAGTGCAGTAGTAGCCAGGGAACTTGGAGAAGTAGGTGTCCTCGAAGCGTTCGTGGTTGTTGTACAAGGTGCGCATCATGCCAGGCCAAGGCTGCGAGAAGACCAGGTAGCCCTCACCCTCGCCCTTGATCTCAATGCCGCACTCATCCAGCAAAGTGGGTTTCACGCCAAAGAAGGGGAATGACTAGAATTGGTAGAAAACAAGAGATTACTTTTCATTTCAAGAATAAATTATGGATTTTACTTACAGCTGAGCCTGGTTTCATGGGGGTGGCTCCTGGTAGAGGTGTAATGACGTGACCTCCAGTTTCCGTCTGCCAGAAAGTGTCCACAATGGAGCACTGCTCCTTGCCAATGTAACGATAATACCAGAGCCAGGCTTCCGGATTGATGGGCTCACCCACACTGCCCAAAACTCTGTAAAGGCAATATAGTTAGAAACTGGAGTAGGAAAGGCTTTCTTATGAAACCTACTTGAGACCACTAAGGTTATGCTTGAGCACTGGTCCTTCGCCGAACTTCATCAGGGCGCGAATGGCCGTGGGAGCCGTGTAGAACTGAGTCACCTTGTACTTGTCGATGACGCTCCAGTAGCGGTCATTGCCGGGATAGAAGGGAGTACCCTCGAACTGGAAAAGTGGAGTGGTTAGACATTGGCTTCACTCCTCTTAGCAAAGTACTTACAATCACCGAAGTGGCGCCATTGGCCAGAGGTCCATAGACCACGTAGGTGTGCCCAGTGATCCAGCCAACATCGGCGGTGCACCAGTAGATATCTCCTGGCTTGTAATCAAAGACAATCTTGAATGTGGTGGCTGCGTAGAGCAAGTAGCCGGCGGTGGTGTGGAGCACGCCCTTGGGCTTGCCAGTGGAGCCACTGGTGTAGAGCATGAACAGCGGATCCTCGGCGTCCATCCACTCGGGATAGCATGCCGGCTCCTTGTCCTCCATCTCCTCGTGCCACCAGTAGTCCCGATCGTCGGTCCATGGGATCTCCTCCTCGACATGATCCGCCTGGCAGGGAGTAACCCGCTTCAGATGCGATACCACAATGCACTTCTCCACCGAGTGGCCCATCTCCTCGACCTTCTCCAGGGCCGTGTCGCAGAGCGCTTTCAGGTACAGAGGCTTCTCGCCACGCCAAGCTCCGTCCGCCGTGATGAGCAACTTGGCCTTGCAGTCGAACATCCGCTCCGCCAAGGAGTCCGGCGAGAATCCGGCAAAGACAATGGAGTGCACAGCACCAATACGGGCACAGGCCAGCATGGCAATGGGCAGCTCCAAGATCATGGGCATGTAAATGGACACACGATCGCCCTTCCGGATGCCATGGTCCTTCAGCACATTGGCGAACCGGCAGACCTCCTCCAGTAGCTTTCGGTAGGTGAGGCCGCGGGAATAGTCGTCGGGGTGGTTGCCCTCCCTGGAACAATGAAACAAAAATAAAACAACGGCCATGAGGAAATATTTCTACATTGCATTATACAGTGTTTACAGTGGGCACGGTCCGGTGGTGGCTCCGGTTCGCAAATGGGTGCCACGTACCGGGTGTCCCACAATTGGGCTAATTACCCCGATCGCAATTGGATCATTGGCTGTAATTCCGTAATTTGATTCTTCCTAATTGCCGAGGAGTCTTAATTCGATTCTTGCTATTTAAATAGCAGAAACATTTTTTTAAATTTATGTCATAGGGTGTTTGAAATTGATAGAGGGCTTATTTTATTTATTTTATGATAAGATGAGATAAGAGAAATATTAAATAAATTTTACTCAAAAGACCCTCAAAGTTTCAAATACTTTATTGTCTCTTAAAGTTGAAATTTATTATTTTACAAGTCAGTTGTCTTTCAGACAAGTTCAGGGTTAGGGTAATAAATATAGGTGTTATTATACGACCCTCTGGTGTTTAGATTTTTTTGTAATGTTTTAAAGGTGTATGTATCCATTTATATAGTAAATACTTGTGCATGTGCCTTTCCCTTTTTGTTCTGAACTTGGCAACAGAAGGCAATGCCAATAACCGACATACATAATTTTATATACAACAGCTGCGAAAAAGTCTTAGACTAGACTACTAGACACTAGGTGTTAAAAGTATGTTTACAAAGCATTAAAAAACTTTGAAAACACCTTGATGTTATTTCTGAAAAGCGCCCTAAAGTGCTTTCATATTTCTATTTAAGGTATTTATTTCTAGAATCATTCTAATAAGTACCCCCAATTCGCATATAAACAGATCGCACTGTCAATGCTCTCTAATTGTTGCTATTAAGGATGTAGTCTCATGTGTGAGGTTGAAAAAATCAAATTTTTTTTTTCAAATATTTCGATAGTATTGTTTATTAAGAATGTACTGTTAAAGTTTCAAATAAAAATATCAAATAATGACAGAGATACAGCCCATAATCGAGAGCGCGCCTACACCGAAAAGTATGAGTTTCTCGGTAGCGTCTAAACTTTAAACGCGTTTTTCTCGGAACGACATTTTTGTGTGCGGCGCAGGTGATTCACAAAATTCTATGGTACCGATCTAGCTGAAATTTGGATATGTTGTTCTAAAAAGTAACACCTCTGTCCCGTACTAGAATCAATTATTTTTAACGATTAGTTTTTTTTTTTATCATTAATTTAAGATAAATTTTTTAAATTAAAAAAAAATTTTTTTTTTGTGTGTTCGCCATTTTGTTGTTTATTGATGAAAATATTTCATTCTAGTACGGGACAGAGCCATAAGCTTACAAAACAATAATCTATTCTAATTTTTTGTTTCGGATGACTCTAGCAGTCGAAATCACCTGCGCCAGGGACCTACCTTTTTTTTTTATATGCATACTTTGGCATGCTATAAAGTGTATTAAACTACACAAGAATAAATTAAACAAAATATTTTCAAATAGTTTATGATGCTTATAAAAACATATGTGAAAATTGAAACGATCGCATTATTTTTTATTACAAAAAAAATTTTTTGAAATAACCTCTAAAAAGTAGGCCGGAACATGAGACTACATCCTTAAATGATTCAATTTAACACGAAACGTATGCCAAAGAGCTTGGAAAGCTTTGCGGGCGGATAAACAAAAATCGTGACCGGACATAAATCGTGAATTTGAATAATTTTTGAATCAGAACCTCCAAAACGGATATAAACATTCTCGATCGCCTGTCGAGAACTAACAACAGTAATGGGGAAAGCAATTTTCCGGACCAGG